CGCTGAGCCGCTCCTTCCTCCGCAGGCCCGCCGGGACGATGACTTTCCAGTGGACGGCAGTTGCCGCCTTCCTGTACGGGGAAATCGGAGTACTTCTGCTGCTCTGCCTGCCGTTTATTTCTCCGCTGAGGTAGGACTCCAGGGGGCTGGACAACTCCCGCTCGGCCTTCTCACCGGTTTGGGTTTATTTTACGCTTTCGTTTTTATAGACACGGAGCGTTGCTGCATCTTAAGCTAATTGTGAACTAAGCTGAAGGAATGCTGTTTGGAACTTGAGCATCAGGAGTTTCAAGAAGCATAAGCTTTTTTTAAGGAGCTTTATGTTTGTTTCCTACACACTGCTGATTCATCCGAGCAGCAGTTGGAGTTCCCAGGATGAGCCCCGTTGCTTTGCTTCAGCAAGTGGGATGTCTTCTCTCGGGGGTTTCTGGCATACAGAAAGGCACCTGGCGTCCCTTGCTATGGGCTCAGTAAGAAATGGGAAGACGGTGCATCTTTTTCAGCACTATGTTAAAATAGTTCCCTATAAGTAGCTCTTCAAATTTGGTAATGTTATTTTTATTTCTCTATAAGAAATAAAGAAAGCTAGCTTCTCTACAAGGGGCAAGAAAAACAGAGTTACAATTTCTTTCCAGAATATCACCAATTCTTAACAAAAAAAAAGAACCCACAAGAAAAACCAAACAAAGCACACCCTAAAAAACCCAAATAGGATGAAACCTTAAAACTTTTAAAAAAAAAAAAAATTGCTGCTATCTCAGTGTAGTGTAAAAACTGTTAGATGTTTGCTTTCAGCATCTTTAGATCTATTTAGAATGAAGAATACAGTTTTTACAATGATATCCTAAGGAACAAAACCTGGAACAAAACCTAGAACAAAACCCTGCTCTGTGGAGAGTCTGAATTTAACTATTTAAACCTGTGTAAGAATCTTGAAAATGGCTGGATCCTCCAATGATTAGTCATGTTTCCTCAACTTCAGAAGTTGAAACTATTCTAAAATCTAATTTAACTTTTGATTTTTACAAGCTGGTTTGTGAGGAGTTCAGTATTTCATTGCAGATTATTGAGTTGTATTTTGTGTTGGTTTTTAAACAAAAGTGCACCTGTATGTAAGAAGGGAGAAATATTATGGAAGTCGTAATCATCAGATTAGTAACAGCTTATGTGAGGAAACAAGCTGCAAGAATTTCTGCAGGCTGATGACACATGCAGAGAACATTGGGAGTATCAAAATAAGTTTCACTTATGACATAAGCAGGGCTTGAATCCAGTCTTTATGGCTGAAAAGCAAATTCATAACCTGCAGTGTTACCAAAATTTAATCAGATGTTAAAGACAGTGCTTTTAGTTATATACAAAGGATAGATTTTTGTGCTTGGTTTGTAGCATTTTCCTGTTCCTTTGAACAGTGGTTTCTGAAAGAGTGAAATAGCTTTGTCCTTTATGTGACATCCACAGTTATCATCTTAACCAAACTGTTGCAGGAATCTTGTGGGGTTAGAGATTAGATTCAGCTGCTGTGACAGTACCAGAGGGCAGCAGTTCTGCCTTATGCGTCTTGGTGGCCTGGGAGCTGGTTCTGTCAGAGCGATAAAGCATGCACAATTAAAGACAGACGTGAAACTGCTGTACTTCACAGTTTTGATTTACTCGCTTGTTAGTCTCTAAAGAGATTCTTTGCCTGTTTTATGCCTGCACTTTTTTTTAGGTGATGAGCTCTTGAGTTTGCTAACAAGCTTTTAGGTTCTTGGGGAATAAGTAAATTGACAATATGAAAATGCCAGTGCACAAAAAGACAGAACTGTACTGCCAAGCACGGTACATCTGTAGTGGTCACCAGTATTATAATTTGAGGGGATTATATTTTTGTGTCTTCTAACACCAAAAGGAAATGGAGCATTAATAAATATGAATGTCAATACTTGAGGAAAAATAAGTGTGAAAAATATAACATAGGAAGACTTTGCAGTAGAGAGATCTTTTTAGCCTGAATATAACTTGGCAGTGTAGTTGGTCTGAGGTCAGAGAATCACTTCAGTGGAGATCAGTATGAAACCTGGAGATTCGCATGTTTAAAGAGTTAGCCACTTGGCTTTGTTTTGAGTTGTAGCTTGGTTTAATTCAAGTAAGCTTTTTGGTTGATACAGACTATGGCTGTCTGCTATAAAGAATTCAGATAATCTGAAAGATTTAATGGAGGTTTTTGCACATACAGTACTAAAACATTTTAATTCTTTCTGGTGCACAACCAGAAGGAACCATTGGAGATGATGCTACAGTCCAATTTAAGTTCATAGTAGATTGCAAACAGCTTCATTAAAGTACAAATTTTAACAGTCCCTGGAAAATGTAAATACTCTTAATAACAAAGTTGGAAATTTTACGTGATATAGTCAGATGGTGACTAGCATGTCTGTGTTAAATCCCTCATGGCATAACTAGGTATTACTTAATTTGTGCAATACTACTGATTCTAACCTGCAGCAAAGGACGGGTAGGTGCTCTGTTGTTTCTTGTGGGTTTCAGTTCATTTGAGCACATCAGACGTTCTTTGTGCTACAAGTGTGAACTCTTGCAGAGTCTTCCTTGCAGTGATATTGGAATGGCAATTGGTTGTTTAAATAAGTAGTAAATAATGGTCTTCACCACCATTGGGCCTCTGAAGTTGCTTCCATAGCCAAAGAATTTATACTTTCGAAAGAGGTTTTAATCCTTGACAAAATATAAACATGAGACTTGTCCTTTTGTTGTCACGTGCAAGTTAGAATGTAATAACAATCCTTGTATTATATATAATTATGCAGACTCATCATTGTAAAAGATAAGCTTTCTGAAGAAGTATGGTAGAGATGATCTTAATTTGTGGACAGTTTTTATTTTATTTGGCCACAAGGGGTATAAGTGAACAGAAATAAAAACAATGGGATGGGTTTTACAGACTTTACCCCATCCCTGAGTTTGTTGTAGTGAGGACTGAACACAAAGTAATGCTAGTCAAAGAATAAGCTAAAATAAAGCACATCTGGAGAGTACCCACTATTATGCGAGAAGTTTTCAAGTTGAACCAGTCTTTGCCTGTATTGACAACAAACAAGAGACAAGCAAGTTGAACTGTTGGAAAAGTGATGTATAGATAATTGCAATTAGAGCAACTGTTTAGAGACCTTACATAAGTCTCATAGCAACAAGGCTCTCTTCTGTGAGGTTATGCTGCTCTTCTGGTGTTTAATTATTTTTGAATAACACAATGCTATTTTACAGATGGCGGAAGATTTTTATGATTCCTTTGTGGAGAAAAGTGGTAGTTTTTTTGAACAAGATGTTCCTTACAATAATAGTTTTACTGATCGTCTTGTTTCTTGGTAAGTGTTAAATAATTTCTTAACAAGTGGGGAAAAAAAACTGGTATATGACATTCATGGCAGTAGATTAATTAAAAAGATTCAAGCCTAATGTAAGTCAGCTAATTTGTTTAAAAGTTCTACAATAGAACGGAAGAGGAGAGGGCTCATGCTGCATCTGTGTTGGGAATCCAAATGCAATGGTAATATAGTAGTGAATGAGGAGGCAAAATGGAGCTTGGTCTGGGCTGCTGCTTGGTTTCACTTTCTCGCACAAGTAAATGAACTTGGGATGCTCGATACCAGAATGTGGCTGGGCTGCACAGTGTGCTGTAGATGGCACTCTTTCTCTTGGTTGCTGTTGAAGACCAGAAGAATATATCAAAGCACTGGGCTGTTTGAGTACTTTTGCTTGGCACAGATGCAAAACAGCTGTTGGCTGCATTTGTTATGTATAGATCTGAACATCTATCAAGTAGGAGTAAAGCTTTAGCGAAACTGGAGCTTGAACGATGACTGTGTGCCTGACTGATTTCTTTTAATGTCTGTCCTAACTGCTTTGTGTGGTAAGCATCTGTCGGATTTCAGTGATGGAAGTAGTTCTCCTCCATGGGTAGGAGAGAAGTGTTTCCAGCACCTTACAATGAAAATGCTGTTTAATTCCAGGCTACTTTAAATACAAAGAAAAAAATATGTGGTTTTATTGTCTGCTGAGAGAAACGTAGAGATGCACTGCATATATAACAAAGTCAGACTAGACTGCAATACTAGATTGTCCTAATATTAAAGGAAGTACTGGAAATGCAAATAAACGTTTTTATTTTAATTTAGAATTATTCTTAGAAGTAGATCCTTCAGTGAATGGCTTAAGATTGAGAACTGATAGATTCCATTTACTCTCTTGAACTCCTATTGAAAACTTTGACCAAAGTTTGCTTTTGAGTTGGTGATGGTCATTGCTTGTGCAGAAGGATAGATTTAGGCTAAAGTAAAGCAGTGATGAGGTGCTTGCCCAATGGCATAAGATGATAGGCTACTGCAGGACTAGAATCTTCCTGTAGCCCAGGGGTGTGGACTTTTGTTTGGTATTCTTTGCATTGTTTGAAGTTTCAGTTCAAATATTTATTTCTTTTTTCTCCTTATAAATAACTTATGAATATGACAGTCAGTCATAAGTGATGTTATTCACACATGCGTTTCTTTGGAGTTGATTTTTGTCTGTGTAGATAAAAGCAGCAGCAATTTAATAACATGTGGCCAAAATATTCTGCGAGAACTGGTGATGTGTTATGAAATGTGTGTTTTTGTTGATGTGCAGGAGGAGATTTTAGGTGTTGTATTTGTCTTAAGTACGTAAGATGACCTTAGGTTTGCAGATTGTAATAAGAACTCCTAAGTGGATTAGGTTTTGGTTTTATGTGGATGTAAATCGTAATTAATTATTTTGTCCTTTGAAAAGTGTTGACAGTGTATTGTCGCTTCTACAGAATGATCAAGAGTATGTGACAGATGAAAGGAAGCTGAAAGGTGGATGAAAGGCAGCTAAAAGAAAGCTGAGGTGTAGCTTGTCCCCTCTGTTCTGTTTATGTTCCACAGTATTACTACAATCTTCCTATTTTGGTGGATAGTATAGAAATATTTTTTCCCTCTTTGATTCAAGCATAAAGTAGACACTTCTGTCATTACTAAAATAGATGCTTATCTAACAAATTCCATATGAGGCGAATACTTCAGAAGACATCTCTTCTTTTTCCCTTCTCTTTCTGTTTTCTCACTGTTTGTCCACCGGCTGGATTTTAATTCCATTGTCAGCAGTGACTTTTTGACACTGTCTGTAGGGTCTCTAGTAACATCTGTAGAGTGTGTTGCTTTGGCTTGATTGCTGGTAGCTGGGCACAAGTGCTGGAACTGACTGTTGGAGCATGTTCTAGGGAGTGGTTTGGCACATCTCTGGAAGTGTGTTGTATTGCTTCAGTGATTTGTCAAGACCTGTGTTTAAAATGTATGTGTAACATAAGTGATACCACTGTTAGTCCTATGCCTGTTTGCTGAACAGAAAGTCCAAAGACATATTTCTAGTGCTAGGTCTGGTTTATCATATACATGTACGCACAGATGAGAATGAGAACAAACTGTTTTTGTTTGCAGATGCCGTTAGAGAAGTCAGGAAGTACTCGGCCGCTCATGTGACTGGAAGGGCTGTAAATATCCATACCAATGCCTGTGATCATACTCAGATGAAACTCTTCAGATCGCAAAGAAACCTCTATCTTTCAGGTTTTTCCTTGTTTCTTTGGCTGTAAGTATAATACTCTTTTTAATTTCTACATAGCAAGTTTCTTACAGGAACTATTGCACAAAGTAATGCAACTATAAAAAAAGATTGGAAGGCTGTTTTCAAGACACTAAAGAATTACTGTGAACAGTTTGGTTATGAGGCAAGTAAGATCAGGGAAAATAATATCTTGCAAATGTTTGGAAATTGGAAGGATATGTGAGCAACACATGGAAAGAAACATTTTAAATGCTTGAGAAAACATGTATTTTGCAGAAGTTTCTTCAGGGAATAGTTATTTCCTTCCCTAAACTTATGCTCTATGCTTTGTTTTGAACACAGAAAACTGGAATAAAACCCCTTCAAAAACTGAAGTACTGTTAAAATAATCTTAATATGATGCAAGCTAGTATAATTGCATCCTGCTGTGTTAAGAAGCAAAGCTTGAGTCTGACTTGAACCACTTTGTCTAAAGCTCAAAATTAAGTACTGTAGGATAATGTTCCAGCTTCCGAGGAAAGTTTCAGATACTATTTCATACCAAGCACTTTGTGGCAACTGGCCTACTACGATATTATGATCTTAAGTGTGGTATCCCTTTCAGGATGTTTAAATACAGCTACTAAAACAGGGTAACGGAAAGGACAGTTCTGGATGGCCCAGCAGTAGCAGCCAAGACTACCTGTGAATCTTTACAGCAGCCACAACAACGTACAGATCTTCTGAGTTCGTCAAGGAGCATGTGAACTAATTTGATACAGATCATGTGAATGCATGGAAACGGACATGTTGGTCAGGTGGTTTCCTATTTGTATATTTTTACGATGGCACTGGGCAAAGACTGCTGGCCCTCTTCTGAATTCCTTCAGTGAGCTCCTTGACACTGCCTACATACACAAGAGGAACAGAGAGCAAGGAAATGCCTGGAATCACAGAGACTTCTGACAAACTTCTTCCCCTTGAAGTGATGTATGGCCATTTCAGCTGGCTGTTGAGGAGCACTGTACATAAGGAAGTGTCAAGGAAAAACGTGTACAAAACTTGAGCAGGAAAACTTTGGGAAAAACAGAGGTGGCTACAGCCTCGCATAGTAGTGATAGGAATGCATCATGTTCTTTGTCTTCCTTCAGAAAGGTTAAGTAAATATACGCAAATATACTTGTGATCTCTAGTCCAAGAGAGGAATAGCTGGATTGTGTTGTATAGAAGAGTTGAAAGCTGGTCCCCTAGGATCCTACTCCTGCTTGGCTTTCAAGGAAGAAAACTTGTCAGGTGGCCCTAACAGATTTTTGTTGTGGATAAAAGCTCTGCTCATGAAGAGGTTTGCTTAAGGCCTTTTTTGGACTACTGGCTTTTCACCAAGATTTAGAAGAAATAAATACTCCTACAGCAGTGGCTAGATCAAAGGACTTTTCTTAGTAGAGCTATTTTGCTTATCCATTAAACAGGCATAATGTCTATCAGAGGAGGGGAAAGTGTCCTTGGGTTGCCTTATCCTACACTGCTACTGCCATCACCCAGCCAAGTTAAGACCACATGTAGGTGTGAATGGGTGTTTGGGTGCCCCTAGTTCATTCTTTGGGTCAGTTTTGGTTCATTTTGGAACATCAGCCAATAGGAGAATTTCAGAAGAGTGGTAGATGGAGATTCCCAAAATGGAGGAGGCTTGAAGCTTGTCAATTCTGGCAACTTCTGGCACACATGTCTTCATCTGTGTTTCAGCAATTGTAGACCAGTGGGTACAGGTGAGGAAAATTACTTCCTCTCAGTGGAGGTATTGGGGCCAGCTGAGCCTTTATTGCCAACTGTCTGCACAGAGAAGAGGAGGGTCATAGTTACCAGAGCCTGTTGCCTGGAAGGACAGAGGCACCCGTCTGCTAATCTGACTTGATGTCTTGGGAGATGTGGTGAGACTGCCAAGGCTTGTCTGGCCCTCTGTTACCCCATGCTGAACCAGAGAGGGATGAGAAGGGCTGAAAACAAAAGGAAAGCTAAAGAAGACATGGTCTTACTTCTCAGTGGGGGAGGGGACCAGATCACAAAGGATATGGAAAAGAATGAGACATTGTCTCATTACCAGCCTTATGTTACGTTGCTTCTTGCTGTTAAGGTCTGCTCTTTGGCTTCCCAATTCTGTGAGCCTTCTAGGAGACTCTGTGGGGAATGTAACATTACCTGCAGTAGTGGAAGATGCAGCTCAGGAGTACTTAAGCAGATTGGGCATATACAAGTCCACGGCACCCTGGGATGGGATGCATCCTTACATGCAGAGGGAGTTGGCCGATGTCATTGCAAGGCTGTACTCTGTCATTTTTGAAAGATCATGGTGATCAAGGGAGGATCCTGGTGACTGCAAAGAGACAAACATTGCACCTGTCTTCAGGGACTAAAAGCGGGATGTATGGAACTAGAGACTGAGCAGCCTCACCTCCCTGGAAAAGTTATGGAGCAAATCTTACTTAAAGCTGTTTCCAGGGACATGAGGGATATGATGACTTGGAACAGCCAGCACGGATTTACAGAGGGGACATCATGCCTGATTATCCCTGTTGCCTTCTGCAATGAGATGACTGGCTGTGTGGATAAAGGGCAGAGCAGTGGATGTTGTGTGGCTTCAGCAAGGCCTTTGACATAGCCTTTTGTATCCTGATGGCCTAACTGTGGAGGGATATGGGCTGGAGGAGTGGAGAAAAAGGTGAGTGGAAAATTTCCTGGGCCTTTGGGCTCAAAAGATGATAGTAATGCAAATTCCATCTGGTGGCCCTTAGGGATTGGTACTGGGCTCAGTACTGTTTAATGACCTTATTAACAACATGAGTAATGGGACTGAATGTGCTCTCAGCAAGTTGTAGACAGAGGCAGTACCAAATCAGAGTGGTTGGTATCTTGGAGGGCCAGGCTACTATTCAGAAGGAGCTAGACAGATTGGAGAAATGTTCTGCCAGAAATCTCATGAAGTTCAACGAAGGCAAGTGCGAAGTCTGACCTCTTATAGATAACCAGGTACAGCATCCAGGCTGGGGACTGACTGCTGGCCAGGTAGAAAGCAATTTTGCAACAAGAGACCTGGGAATCCTGGTAGACCAACCAAGGCTGTACTGAGCTGTAATAGCAAGGATGTGGTCAGTAGGTCAAAAGAAGTGATTATTCCCCTCTATCTGGCACTTGTGGTACTGCAGCTGCAAGACTGTGTCCAGTTTTGACTCTCCAAAATAACTGGAGTACTGTAGCAGGGTACCAAGAAGCTTGGGAGCTCAACAGATGACCTATGAGGAGAGGATGAGGGAGCCTGGCTTCATCCAGCGAAAGAGACGTTGAAGGAGATACCTTACTGCTTTCCGCAGATATCTAGTGGTAGGATGTAGAGAAGATGGAGCCAGCTCTTCTCAGTGGATCCACACAGGAACAACAAGAGGCAACAGGCCAGGAACCTGGGAGATTCTGACTTGTGATGAAAAGTAGTTTTTCTACTGTCAAGAGCAGTCAAACACTGGAACAAGGACCCTGAAAGACAATGAAATCTCTGTAATTGGAGACAGTGGGAGTTCACCTGGATAAGCCTCTGAACAATCTGCTCAACCTGTCCTTGCTTTGGGCAGGAGCTTGGACAGGATGACCTATGGAAGCCCCTTTCAGCCTACATGATTCTGTGATTCTGTTTTAGTAATGATGTCTTACTGACTCCTGACTGCTGCATCTTTAAATTAATAAGCAATAGTAAAACATGCTAACCCATGGAAAGGCAGTGATATGAGGACTTTAACTTTTTTTATCAACCCCAAAAAAGTAAGAAAATGAGCTTGCAATGAAAAAGTGGGGGGGGGAGGGCTTACCTTGAAAGCCAAAAGGTCTGTTAATATGCTTTCAGTTATGAAAAAGCCAATTACTGAGATTTTCAAATTTCTTTTGAAAAGCAACTGCATAGTTATATTAGAGGAATTAGTTTAATTCAGTGTTGCTTTGGCTTTTGCTTGATTCAGCAACATACTGCTTTGAAGGCCTCCAGGATGAATAATGAAAGTAGTGATGCAAAGAGGCAATCACTAAATCGAATCAAGGGAGGTATTTGCAAAGCTTAGATTTGAGGTGCCATATGAGGGCTGACATTCATGCATGTTCTGATTTATACAGTATTGACAGAATGCTTTGAAGATTAATATGTTCATATTGCTAATTTTATTCTTGTAAGGCCTTTTATAAAGTTGAGATGGTTTTGGTTTTCTTTTTTTCATTTTACTCATTACCATAACATGTTGCTTCAGTCTTGTATTGAGAGATCCATCCTATTTAAAACACTTAATTCATGTAAGAGTACTTCAGCCTTTAAGCAAGCAGGTCTCTGACCTCTTAATGGCTGTGGGTTCTGGGGAGGAGGGAGGTTCTGCAGCAGGTAAAAATTGATTTTGATGGATAAAAATCTTTTCAGTGTCTTATTTTACTATTTGTCATGCATGAGCTTGGTGCTTCCCTTAAGGGAAGCTTAAACAGTCCTCTTGTGGTTTTGTTTTCACATCTAATGCAGAGTGAGAGAAAATGGGTTGTTTTGGTTTTGTTGTTAATTTGTGCTGTGAATTACTGTGCTGTTCACTGTGTTTCTTCACCAGTGTATTGAGACGTACTGTTACCCTTCTTACTCAGTTGGCAGAAGGGATGGCATCTCGTGCAGCTCTGGAAATGCAAGTAAACGATGCTACTGAAGCAGCCAAAAAATACATGGCTGAGAATGAAAAGCTGCAGGAGGTATCTGTGAACTTTTTTAGTTATTTTCTTATACAGCAGATTGTTAGTACAAAATACTCTGGGGATGGCTTACTACTGAATAGTTTGTTCATGTTTTTTCTCCTTACAATATGTAATTCAGAATAGTCAATACAAATTTCAGTAGCATTATATTAACAAAGGAAACTAAAGTAATCTATTGTTATGGTGGGTCAGACAATTTCCCAATAGCTTCCTTTCTCAGTAAGGCACTGCTGTAGTATTAATGAGAATATTGCCAAAAATTTCTTACTTAAAATAACTACCAAGGGACCAAAGCTATGTTATTTTTATGAGAACGGAGAAAATTAAGCTATCATTTGTCTGTTGTGGTTCAATATACAGTTGTATGCAGGAAGGCAAGTCAGCAAAGATAAAGATCAGTGTATGAAATCTTTTCTCGTAATTGGTTAGTTTGCCTTCTGTTAGAAGAAACTGAACTGTAAGCTTGGGTGCAGGTATCCAGGTATATGAAGACTTCTATAGCATTCCGCAGTCTGGCACGTTGTCAAAACAATTCGCTGCAGGTGTGTACAGGTTTTCTTCCAGTTTGTCTGGAGCAGTGTCTATGGTTACCAGCACTGTAATTTTTTTTGCAATAAATCTTCAGACACAGAGAACAGACTCTGGACAAAAAGTACTAGAAAGGATGCAAAAAAAATCCAGTTGTTTGAGAGGTGTTGTAAAAGAAGGATCACTAGAGTGTGTTAGCTATTTCCCAAGTATGAAACGATTCCAAAATTTGAGGATTTGGTATTTTGTCAAAATGATCCAGACTCCCTCCCTCAGCCATGGGATTTGTTTCTTTCCTGCCTACTGGTACTTTTATTTTTTCCTCTCTGTCCTGTTGAGATTTGGCCAAAAGTCCTCTTTTTGTTCTGCTTTCACATTCTCTTAGCAACACATTCTCTTAGCCGCTTGTAAGCGATAGCCAGGAACTGGAAACTATTCCTGTCTGTTTCTATTGGTGTGTTTGATTGCATGGTTTGCAAAAACAGTGGTAGTAGTACTGTGTAGCCACAGGTACAGCCAGCATGCAGTGGCTGGATCACCACTGTGCTGGAGGTGCAAAGTGTTCAGAATTGGTTTATTTTGACTTTATAAGAGGTACTGTGACTTAGGTTTCTCTATGGCTTGGCCCCCTGCATTTGTGTTCATTTACAAGCCTGCTTCATTCCACCATCAGAGAGAGGCAGGAACAATTGCATATAGGGCACTGGCTATAAGTATAAATACTGTAGGTTTACACTAGTGGGCTAGGTCTGCACTGTCTCCTGTTCAGAGGTTCCACGGAGCACAGGACTTAAGATAAAACTTTACAGAAATAACTATTTCTGTGTCACTAGAAAGAGGTGAGCACAAAGTGAAGGAGGCAGTGTCTGGCAAATTTCATGATGTGTTGGCTATGGTTTTGTTGTCAGCAGTCAACTGCAATCTCTGCTCTTTGGTTAAATAGTTTCTGGAAAACTTCCTTCAGCTCTTTTCTTTGGATTGTTTACCAGTCTTTATAAACTATTCTTTTCATTTTTCCTAAAATAGTCTTTCCCCTCTGCTTCCATCTATGCCTAGTAAGCTCGCGTACCACCAGTTCACTTAACAGCTGTTCATCTCAGTTGTTTTACTTTTCTTTTTCCTGTTAAGCATTTACCACTTCTTTTGCCATTTTCATAACAGTTGATGCTTGGATGGATAATAGAGGCTGTATGAGCAAAGGGTCTAATTATGGTGTCTAATACTTAATGTATGATACTTTGTCATCAGTAGCAACTGCCTTAATGATCAGAGCGTGCACAAGTATAGTACTGCTGACATTTTCAGAGCCACGGGGATGTCCTGGGTTTGGCTAGGCTAGGATTAATTTTCACCAGAAGCTGGGAGGGGGCACAGCCAGGACAGCCAAACTGAACTAGCTAAGGGGTATTTGATACCATGCTGACGTCATGCTCAGTATGTAAGTGGAGGAGCAGCCAGGGCAGCATGTGTGGCGCAGGAAGGCGGACATCAGTGTCTGGGTGGTGAGCCGTTGCGTTGTGTGTCACTCGCTGTATGTATGTATATTATTTTGTTAGTATTGTTACTACTGTTGTTTCTTCTCTCCTTGTGTTGTTCCGTTAAACTGTCCTTATCTCAACCCACAGGGTTTTACCTTTTTCTCCCGATTCTCCTCCCCACCAAACCACTGGGGGGGAGGGGTGAGCAAGTGCCCACGTGGCACTGTGCTGCCGGCTGGCCCCAAACCATGACAGTCCTTTTTGGCACCCAGCATGGGGCCCAAAGGGTTGAGATCACAACAGATCTGACCAGAGCTTGTTAGGACAGTTTTGTTATACGCATTTGTTATATCAGTTAAACAGTCACTGGTCATAATGTTGGTTCATCTGTTCACGTGGTGGTGTTATGTAAATCCTTACATGGACTGCGTACTCCGTGCAGTGATGTTTGTGACCTCTGGGAGAGAGATCAGGACTATCATTTTGCTGTACTGGGTAAGGCCGACTTACGATATGATTGCATCACTGGTCACAAGGTTAAGCTGGTATTTGTATGCAGCATTGCTGATATGCCTGATCCTTGGGTGCCTTTTCTCGGAATTTGTTACTAATCACACCCAGTCTGCAGGAGAGACAAAGGGGGATGCTTTCTCCCACTCTTCCACCTCTCTCTTTTCCTTCAGGCTAATTACAACAGCTTTTAAGAATTTTGAATATCCCCGGGGGTCCCAAGACAGCATATTCTTACTGCTGTGTCTCCTGAATCTGTCCCAGGTCTTGTTTAGGGTTACACAAAATTTTTTTAAGAATTGAGTGGCAGAGCGTGTAGGAGAGTATGGGCAAGTGCCTAGGACAGTGGTCACCTCCAGTGTTCTGGAATTTCACCCTGCACAAATGCAGAATCCTGAAAAACTAATAAAATATTTGGAGAAGGTGTGCTGTCACCCTGGCAATTCCAGAGATGCACAAATCACTGCAATGTGCTGGGGTCTGGCCCATGCCTACCGAGCCCTTCTCGGCACTACTCAGTGCCCTCAAGGGGAAGAGAAGGTCTCTGGACCTGAAAACAGACAGACAGGTGCTACAGCTGAACTGGAGAACCAATCTGTGCTGGTACCAGTTGCCCCTAGACAGAAGAAATACACAAAGAAATCAGTTGGCTTAGTGAGGGATGAAGGTGAACCAGGGTCATCACGAGAACAGGAGGAAGAGGCAGAACCAGAGGTAATCACCTGATCCCTATTCCCGAGTGAGCTGTGAGATATGCGAAAGGATTATGGCTGCCATCCAGGTGAGCACATTGTCACCTGGCTGCTCTGATGCTGGGATAATGGGGCGAGTAGCTTGGAATTAGAGGGTAGGGAAGCCAAGCAACTGGGCTCCCTGTCTAGGGAAGGGGGCATTGACAAGGCAATTGGAAAGCAGACACAAGCCCTCAGCCTCTGGAGGCAACTCCTGTCAGGTGTGAAGGAAAGGTACCCCTTCAAAGAAGATGTTACATGTCACCCAGGCAAGTGGACCACCATGGAGAGAGGTATCCAGTGCCTGAGGGAACTAGCTGTGCTGGAGGTGATTTGTAATGGGCAGTTACAGATCCGGATGAAGTCCGATGCACACAACCCGTGTAGCGGAAGATTCTACGAAGTGCACCACCGTTGCATGCCAGCTCATTGGCAGTAATGTCCTGGAAAGAAGGTGAGGGACAAACGGTAGATGAATTGGCTTGCCAACTCTGACAATATGAAGGAAGTCTCTCTTGGCTGTGGAGGAACTGTCCTGGGAGTTCCAGCAATTCAAAAAGTATATGTCCTACTCCCCACCTCTACGGGCCTATATCTCAGCTGTTAGAAGTAGGCACTCCTCTGCTCGGGAGAGAGAATACAGAAGGTACACACCATGGGCTACCCTGTGGTTTTACCTACGTAACCGCAGAGGAGACATGAGGAAGTGTGATGCAAAACCCTCTTCAGTCCTAGGTGCCGGGTATGTGAGTTGCAGGGGAAAACAACCACAAAAGGGGATTCTTCCTGGAAAAATGCCACTCAGATTTCCAGTAGGAAATTCTGCAGACAAAGTAGAAGGGCTGATCTTTATGTCTGGCCCTCTTGAAGGGACTTCTAAGCCATTTTCACAAGAAGTGAGTGATTTTGATCAGAATTAGAGGGGCCTTGCCTCCAGTCAGGTGGGGGAAAAGGACAACCGTGTTTGTTGGACTGTGTGGGTCCAGTGGCCTGGCACATCAGACCCACAGGAGTGTAAGGCCCTAGTAGACACTGGTGCACAACATACCCTAGTGCCGTCAAGCTGTAGAGGGGCAGAACCCATCTGTATTTCTGAAGTGACAGGGGGATCCCAACAGCTAACGGTACTGGAAGCTGAGGTGAGTCTAACTGGGAATGAGTTGCATAAACACCACATTGTGAGTGGCCCAGAGGCTCTATGCATCCTTGGCATAGGCTGCCTCAGAAGGGGGTATTTCAAGGATGCAAGAGAGTACTGGTGGGCCTTTGGTATAGCTGCGTTGGAGACAGAGGAAGTTGAACAGATGTCCACCTTGCCTGGTCTCTCGTTGGACCCTTCTGTGGTGGAGTTGCTGAAGGTTGAAGAGCAATGGGTGCCAGTCACTACTACAACGGTACGTCGGCAGCAATATCGCACCAACTGAGACTCCCTGATTCCTATCCATAAGCTGATATGTCAACTGGAGAGCCAAGGGGTGGTCAGCAAAACTCACTTACCCTTTAACAGCCCTATATGCCAGTGCGAAAATCTAATGGTGAGTGGAGACTAACAGTAGACTGTCATGGCCTGAATGAAGTCGTGCTACGGCTGAGTGCTGCAATGCCAGACATGCTAGAACTGCAATAGGAACTGGAGTCGAAGGCAGCCAAGTGTTATGTCACTACTCTTATTATTAAAATTTTCTCTATTCCTTTGGCAGCAGAGTGCAAGACACAGTTTGCTGTCACGTGGAGGGGCATCCCATACACCTGGAATCAACTGCCCCAGGGGTGGAAACACAGTCCCACCGTTTGCCATGGACTCATTCAGACTACACTGGAACAGGGAGAAACTCCAGAACACCTGTAATACATTGACATCATCATATGGGGCAACACAGCAGAAGATGTTTTTGAGAAAGGGAGGAAAATAGTTCAAATACTTCTGCAGGCAGGTTTTGCCATAAAACAAAGGTTAAGGGACCTGCACAAGAGATTCAGTTTTTAGGAATAAAATGGCAAGATGGGTGTTGCCAGATCCCAATGGATGTGATCAACAAGATAGCAGCCATGTCTCCACCAACTATTAAAAAGGAAACACAAGCTTTCTTAGGTGTTGTGGGTTTTTGGACGATACTTATCCCAGGTTACAGTCTGATTGTAAGCCCTCTCTATCAAGTGGCATGGAAGGAGGAGGATTTCGGATGGGGTCCTGAACAATGACAAGCCTTTGAACAAATTAAACAGGAGATTGTTTGTGCAGTAGCCCTCGGGCCAGTCTAGACAGGACAAGATGTTAAAAATGTGCTCTACACAGCAGCTGGCCAGAATGGCCCTACTTGAATTCTCTGGCAGAAAGCATCCGAGGAGACCCGAGGCGACCCGAGGCTGACCCCTAGCGTTTTGGAGTCGGGGTTACAGAGGATCTGAGGCCTGCTATACTCCCACTGAGAAAGAGATACAGGTAGCATATCGAGGAGCTTGAGCTGCCTCAGAAGTGGTTGGAACTGAAGCAGAGCTCCTCTTAGCACCCCGACTGCCAGTGCTGGGATGGATGTTCAAAGGGTGAGTCTCCTCACCCACCACGCAACTGATGCCACATGGAGTAAGTGGGTCACACTGATAACACAACGGGCTCAAACAGGGAGCCCTAGCTGCCCAGGAATTTTGGAAGTGATCACAAACGGGCCAGAAGGCAAAGATTTTGGTATGTCATAGGAGGAGGTGACATGTGCTGAAGAGGCCTCACCATAGGATAAACTACCAGATAATGAGTAGCGATATGCCCTGTTTACCGGTGGGTCCTGTCACATTGTTGGAAAACATCAGAGGTGGAAGACTGCTGTGTGGAGTCCCACATGATATGTTGCTGAAGCTGCTGAAGGAAAAGGTGAATCGAGTCAGAGGTGAAAGCCATCCAGCTGGCTATAGATACTGCTGAGCAAGAAAGGTGGCCAGTGTTCTATCTCTATACCATACTCATGGATGTGCTCTGTTTCTATACCAACTCAGAGCATTTGTGGAGGTGGTTACAACAATGGAAGCAGAGTAACTGGCAGTGCAAAGGTAAACCCATCTGGGCTGCTGAATTACAGCAAGATATTGCTGCTCAGGTACAGTACCTGGTTGTGAAAGTACCTCACGTGGATGCCCATGTACCCAAAAGTTGGGCCAGTGAAGAACATCAAAGCCACAAGCAGGTAAATCAGGCTGCTAAGTTTGAAGTGGCTCAGGTGGATTTGGACTGGCAGCATAAAGGTGAATTATTCATAGCTCGGTGGGCCCGTGACAGCTCAGGCCATCAAGGAAGGGATGCAACATATAGATGGGCTTGTGACTGAGGGGTGGGCTTGACCATGGACACTATCGCACAGGTTATCCATGAGTGTGAAATGTGCTGTGATCAAGCAAGCCAAGTGGTTGAAGCCCCTGTGATATGGAGGGTGACAGCTGAAATATAAATATGGGGAGGCCTGGCAGATTGATTATATCCCACTCCCACAAACTCATCAAGACAAGTACCATGTGCTTACAGTGGTGGAAGCAACACCAGATGGCTGGAAACATATGCCATGCCCCGTGCCACTGCCCAGAACGATCCTGGGCCTTGAAAAGCAAGTCTTACAGTGACACAGCACCCTAGAAAGGGTTGAGTCAGACAATGGAACTCATTTCCGAAACAATCGCGTAGACTTGTGGGCCAAAGAGCATGGCGTTGAGTGCGTATCTCACACCCCCGTCATGCACCAGCCTTCAGGAAGACCGAACGATACAATGGTCTGCTAAAACCCACACAGAGCAATGGGGGGTGGGACCTTCAAACATTGGGATACACGTTTAGCAGAAGCCACCTGGTTAGTAAATACTAGAGTATCTACCAATCGAGCTGGCCCTGCTGAATCAAAGCTCCTGCGTACTGTAGAAGGGGATAAAGTACCTGTAGGGCACATGCAGAAGGGATACAAAGTACTCTCACACAGGAGATAATACCATCCTTCACAAGTATGCTGTTGCTTTCAACTTAAAACACTGAGCATTTTTTCCTTTTTTAATTTTTTTTTTCTAGAATGATTGAGTATCTGCCTGTGTCATATTGACATTTGATAAAACCTGTCACTTTTCAAGATAAAAGCTGATGTTCTCTGGTGGTTTGGCATTAATGTCAGGCTAATGAAAACAAAATTAACTGTTGCAACTGTGGTTTTTAATAGGCCTTGAGTGAAAAAGGAAGCAGTGAAAAGAAAAAGTCAGTAGAAGCAACTGGTGAAAAGTTGAAGAAGGAAGTTGAATGTTTGACAGCAGAGCTACAGAAGGCGTCAAATGGTAAGTATTGGTTAAGACTTCTCTGCAATTAAGAGAGATTTTTTTTTTGCCACTGGATGTCAAAAATTTATTCTAGGTATGGCATTAATGAACATCATCAGTTTATGGAACACTTGGCTGGGATTTCTTCACATTTGACTAGGATCTGGAAAAACATGCTATTGCCATCCCCATGTAAATGTTTTTGTTATGAAAATGTGTACGGTGTAATTTGAACACCTTAGTTAAATTGTAGTTATTAACAAATTGAACTGATACATTTTAGTGGTGTTGACTCATCTTCATCAATGACACGACCAGGATACGGAATCAACAGTAGGTTGCTTATAGGCATCAGACTGATCTATCATGTCATATGTGTCAGCCACTCTCCTTGTATAAAATGGCAAAGTATGTGGTTAAAGCTTTTTTTGTAAAGTAGGGTTTCAGTCAGATAGCAGACAAATCCTTCACTATTGCTTTAAATTCATCTATCTCCTGAAAGAGAGGTGTTAGCTTTTTTTAATTTTTTTTTTGTCTACAGGGAAACATGCCTCGCAGTTTGTAACGTAATACCTTTGTTAGCAGCTTCCGTGTTTAAGGTTTAGGTTATCAAAACTGCTTGCTTGGCAACCCAAATTGAGATAGAAGCAGATTTTACCTGTTTGGTTCTGTCTTACTGGGATCTGTCAAGGTGTGTGATGCCTATGAACACCTACTCGTCTGAAATGAGTGTTTTTAAGACAACACTGCTTGTGACCTTGTAAGCATTAATCAGATGTTCAGACTGTAACAAAATACAGATTTTCCTGGTACCAGATAGCATGTTGTCACCAAAACATAGCCCTGTTTTCGTATTGCACGGCACTGCTACAAAGCTGTAAGAAGGAAACCAAATGTTTCATGAATCCTTTTTCATTGTCTGCTGGGAAGACAAACAACGACTGTAGAACAGCTGTTTTCAGCTGGGCTTGAAGCAATAAGAATCTTTAAATAGAGTCTCTTGTTAGTTCACATTCTTAGGCAGGTTTGATTGTGGGGTTTCCCTCTCCTGCTGTTTTCTTCAAGAAAGAGGGGAAAATTGCCTTTGAAGTGACAGGATCAATGAAAATCTTAAATGCATCTGTTTTATTTAAGCTCACTGGTGGTATGTAACACTAATATAATGTAAGCTTTTCAGTCAGGAATGCTAGAGAAAGCTAAGGAATAAATAGATTTACCACATGCTGCTTCAGCTGCATTCTCCCTGTGGGCTGTTGTCCGTCCAAAAGATGTGTAAGTTAAGGCATGCTTGAGTCTTTTGTTGGGTGAAAGTGGGGGAGAGGGTCTCTTTAACGGAATGAATTGCAAAATGTTTACAACCCTTCCCCTGATGCCACCCCCCTCATTACCAAAACAGAAAACCACATAGTTATGTTAGTTACTATTGCCAGCTAGATGGTGTTAGGGTATGTCTCTCTTATTTTTTTTTCTAAGTTTTCTAATACCTTATTTTGAGCAAACTGGTAGCCAGAAAGCATGAAGTACTTGATGATAACCACATCTGTAGACACAGCTTTCTATGGAGTGTTAGAGGTTTGATGTGAATCGAACTTAGTGTTTGCTTTGGAATCTTCTGCAACTGAGCAGGTGAATGTTGAGTTTCATGCTTGCTAAGTGTGAGCAATGCATTACACAGTATCAACTCAAGACTGAAAAGCTTGTTTTACCTCTCTTTAACAATTTGTTTTGTGCCACTGAGCTCACGTGACTAGAGTAACCTTTCTAACCTTTCCTTTGTGTCCACAAAGTCCAATCCATGGAATTTTGGGGATATTTGGGGAGGGGTGGTGGGTGGGTGAGGACGGAGTGAGGAGTGTAGGGGGTGTCACCTAGTAATGAACCAAGGCAAACCTACTGTAAAAAGGAAAACTGTTCTGGTTTGGGTTTTGGGGTTTTCTTTTTGTTTATTTTTCAGCTACAGTATCAGTAAGAGTCCTGAACTTGGATTTTGTTGGGGGTATGGATTTTTTTTTGCTGCTTGGATGAAAAAACCAAGTATAATCTTTTCCAGAGTCATTTCAAATATCCATTGCTCTGGTCTGGTACATTTGTTAAGCTGCTTATGTATGGTGATAGGATGATCTATTACTTTACAGTAGGCCATGTGTTGAAAGGTGGGTTACCTCAGTAGTGGCACCCAGGAGGAGTCCTAAGTGTAAGGCTGCTTCATGTTTAAATAACTCGGTTTAGTATCAGATTAGTGCTGTGACTTCAGGGGAGATCCACGTTTTCTGTAAGGTTTTGATATGGTATTTACAACTTCTGGCAGAGAAGATACTGTATGTCTCTTCTTTCTGAAATTCTGACTGAAATTATAGTGTCGACAGTGATTATTGCAGACTTCAGGAGACTTCTCTATAGTTCTTCAGCTTTCCAGCTTTTACAGGAAGCACAGTCTACGGGGTTATTTTTTGTCCACTTAACTGTAAGTGAAATCCTAAGTTAAGATGACATTTTGCCACCTACTGTGCTCTGGGCAGGTGGGGAGGAAGAATGAAAATACAAGACAAAGAGACTGGGTAGTGAAATTACTAAAATTTGAGGAAAGGTTGGAAATGAGTAACAAAGATTTCAGCAAAATTTGGGGTTTTTTTCCGACTTGACTTCTATCACCCTTGATGCCCACTTTTGCTTTGTTGTGGAAATGATGGGAAGGGGACTAGTTCTTCACTACTTCACAAACCCACATACTGGGGATTTTATAGGCACCCAGCAGTGGGGCTAGCACTTTCAGAGCCTAAATCCATTTTTAGCATACCTGGACATGTAATAACATGACTGTTTAGAAACCTTCCAGGATGGTATTTTATTGATACACTTGTATGTTACGAAAAATGTCTCACTGATACTTAGAAATAAATATATGTACTCCTAGGAGTACCCAGTGCAGATGTGAGAATGTCTTCTGCTAAACATTAGACGTTTCTAATAACAACTTGATTCAGATAATTAAAGGCTCTCAGTATGGCTGCTGGTCTCGCACCTATAGGAGTTTTCTGGGTAAGAAGAAATGCTATGATATTTTTTCATTTTGATAGTTTTGAAAATTATCCAAAAAGCTACAGCAAAAAAAAAAATCTGCGACTGGACATGAGGTCAGAGTCTGAGAGAAGTTTCATAAAGCAGCTGTCCCTACAGCGATCCTGGGGTTGGGACTTCTGGTGCATTAGCTCTCTGTTCTCTCTCACACTGTGGACATGCTGGTGTGTGCAGTGTTCTCTTGTTATTATGGGACCCTTTGGGCAGAAGGGAGACTTCTGTGATGCTGTACTATTTGACCTTCCATCTCAGGTTGGTTTTTTGAGACCTGTCCTAGTGTACGGTAAAGGCCACAGCTTCATTTACACAACGCAGTGTATACAGGACAACTAGTATTGATCAGGTCTTGCAGCAGAACACTCTGGTGGCAGACTCCTGTCCAGCTTGTTGACCCCTCACTCTTCTTATAATATTTCATGGTAAATGATGCACCTAAAGCTTCTACCTGCATCTGATGTAGCGTTATGGGCATTGCAGTCCCCAGCAGCTGTGTGCAGTTATGGAGCTGTGACCTTAGTGCGTCTTTGAGCTGAGTCTGTAGTGCCACGCTGAGGCAAAATCCAAAGACTGTTTCTTTATGTGCCATTAGGATTTCACTTTGAAGTGTGTACTGACTCGCCAAAGTCTCTTTGGTGCTTTTGAACTGTAGTTCAGCTTTTTCTGAAAATACTCTCTATTTATGTTGTCGTAGGCATACAGTGGTGCAGGAGGAAATTCTGATGAAACTTCCATGCGTCCTTTAATGAGGTTTGTTCTGTGTACAGAATGTGTCACAGGAGTGCTTTTTTGTTTCATGGTTGCATAGTGTTGTAGGAGACAGTAAGAGAGCAACAATTTGTGTGGAGGGCTGGTCTTGAAGTAGCTTTTAATGTTGATTATTCTAGAAAGTGTGCATGTACAGATGTGCAACTCTCACTTAAAGTGAAGATTGTTAGGTGTCAGAAAGATATAAGCAATGCAGACATTGGGAATACATTTCATAGAACTGTTGCTGGCAGGGAGACTTCAGCTCAGCCTTTGTGTTGCCAGGCAGGCTAGTGCCATGTGTGAAAACTGTATCTTGAGCTCCACTGAAGCATTCCAGTTTTTAAAACCAAACAAACACCCATGCCACCCCCCCAAAAGAACCCAACCCTATCAGTTTTCTTTTGTAAGCTGGGAATAGGAGATACAAGTGAAAAGAATTGGCTGCGGTCTTGTGTTATTTAGCCAGTGGCAGAGGGAGGTTTAGAAACAAAGTCCATCTTACTTAACTTTTCAACTGTGAGATCATAATCTTAGTGGGAGCCATTGCACAATGTCACATGAAACAAGAGTTGAGATTCATATTTGTTTGAAGGGATGGCGCTGCATACAGCAAGCATGGTTTTGTTGTACAGGGCCATTAATGCCATCTGAAGATGCTGTAACACCCCTTTTGTAACAAAATTTCATTGGAGGTTGCCAAAGGTACTTGAAGCAAAGTTGTGTGTAATTTTTTGGCCCTGCCTTCTTTTTTTAAACTTATCTGACCATGACATCTTAAGAGAATTCAGAATTAGTGTGGAATTACTTGACTGGAGTTGTGTTCCCAGCTTTACAGCGTATTTGTTGGCAGATCTCTTGCCCCGTCAGTGCCTAAATTCTTAAATGTGAATAGCTCTTTCTCAACTTGAAGACTGTTAAAAGAGAGGGATCTTTCTTAGTCTTAAACTAGTCCAAATCGTTTGGGTTTTAGACTTGTATTGTGAGCAATGCTAATTTAAGTTCCAGATCGTTTCCTTAGTAGCAAGCACTGTAAGTCAAGTGATTGTCAGACCAGAAGTAGTAGTTATGCAGGGAAATGCCCAAAGAATCATGGGTTGCTTTTGTTGCTGTTTGGTGGTGTTTTACTGTTCTGTTCTTTATCCTTGTTGAAATAAGATAATAGAAATGCTACAGCTACGGGGCTCTATTAATATCTTCAGAGCAATTTTATTCCTCATCCTCCTTTGACTTTAGGGGTATCTGAAGTAAACTATCTATCCTGGAACCAGAGAATGTGGTAAGGGAAGGACAAGTTCTCTACTTCTCCCAGACTGTACATGTTACATTAGTTTATGGACCTCCAGTTACACATGAAGTGTAAAGGGATAAAGTTTTCCATAAATGTCTTCCATTCATATACTGCCCTAAGAATACTTTGTTGATTTTTCTTGGGAGGGAATGAAAAAGGATAGCCCACCCCTCACAGTACTGAGGCTGGATTCCAGTTTCGGGACTTAACTGACTGTTCCTCTCCTTAGTTGCATCAACGTAGAAGCAGCATTCTTGCCTCCTGCCTACTCCTGCATTTACATGGTAGGAACAGTCAGCTGTTGGGTTTTGCTTGCTGCCAGTCCAGCTGTGCTGTCTCCTGTGAGGCAACATAACAGGCCAGATGGAAGGCAGAAATAGTAGCTGACTGTGTTGTGCACACAAAGGATCTTCTGTTTTCTGCTGGATTGGTGTTCATATGATATGATCCATATGACAAACAATATACCTGTACGATCGACTTGGCTGCACTGCAGTGTTCATGCAATGGCAAAATAGGTGAACGGTGATGTAAAATAGTTGAGCAGCGATGTATGGACAGTCTCCGTCGCTTGACAAGACATCCAGAGGAGTTGGTGCGCTGGGGAATTCGTCAAAGATGTGATGCTCCTTTTTGATGTGTGGTCCCAACAAGAATGAGTCTGGGGTTGGGTTTGGATTTTTTTTTTGTCCGTAGCCAACACAGGTGGAAAGGTCAGTCTGTTCTTTGCTTTTTGTTCTAGGGTTAGGTGAGGTATTCCTGTCATACATCTGTTTTGGTCAAAACATTGAAACAATGCAGTGGCTTGTTTGCTTTCTTGGTTTGCAGATACTTTTAAGTATTTTGTTCATGTTTTAAAGATACAGTAGTTTTTAGTTGCACCTAAAGTACTGTGCTGCTGCTTGTAAACCGCTAAATAGTATTAGGTCAATAACATTGAGTTATGACTTCTTCAGAAATGAGATATCATTAATTCTTACTATAACTGTGTACCAGAATATTTAAACAAAGGCAAAATTTAGCTTTCCAGTTAGCGGATTCTTGAAGAGGTGAAATGGCATATGTGTATGTTTTTTGTCTACACTTAAAATTCAGAAGTTTATATCAAATTGTTGCAAGTTTATTTTGGAGTGATTTCCAAATTTTACTGTTGAACATTTTAAACAGTAACAAGATGGGAGAGAGCGTAAGTGCAGTGGGGTTCAACTTGTCAGATGGGGGAAAATCATGGTTATTCCAAATACTAAAACCTTTAGAAAATGTTTCTGTGTTGATGCTGTCAAGGATGCATTAAAAATTGAAGGATATCTGTGAAAGAGTATGGAAATGAAAGAAAAGCTGTAAAGAGGTGAGATGAATTTTTTGCCTTGTTGGAATCAATAGACGTAAGTGTAATTAACTTCAGTAGAGCAGAATTTCAGGCTAGGTAAAAGTCCTGTTACTGGAAAAGTAGTTGCAGACTTTTAAAATGGGAATGATTTTGAATCTATACATTCAAATTGATTAAAAATAGCAGAAGGGCTGGGGGAGGGAGTCTTCCTCTTTGGGTGTCAGAGGTCAAATCTCTTGTGTCCTGATGTTTCATAAACTAGAGCCAAAAGAGAAACACAGTTCAGAGCAGAATGCTTGTAGCTAGGTGCTTAAAAAAAACAAACCACATCTAGCTCCTCATCTTTTGAGAACAGGCTCTTACAGAGGTGCTGCAATTAGTGAGTGACTTGGAAGTCTCTGGGAAAGAACAGTCTGTCTCAGTGAGCTTGCAGTTGAAGGACAGATCCTCATGTTTTTCGAATGAGGAAAATTGCAAATGTTTCTCTTTATTTGTACCATCGAGATTTGCTTTTTAAATGTGGCTCTGTGAGATAGCCTTATAGGCCATTACTGACACTTCTCTGTTGTAGCATGAATAAATCAAGTTTTAGGGTATGCCTGTGCTGCTACAGCAGAGAAGTATAAACATACCTGAGATACCTATAGCAGAGGAATATAAAAATGTCTAAATGACCTTACTTGGATGCTCACATAACACCTTAGCAGTAATGGCTTTATGAAACTTTATGCTGATGTACGTTGCATTGTAAATTAGCCCCTGTGGAGTCCTGGGCTGATTTGTACTGCAGCATGGACATGCTCGCAGTTTATTGCTGTTGAGATTGTGGGTAGGGCAATAATTCCTTTTTCTCAGGTTAAAAAACTGTTCACAGTTGTCTGTGCTACCACCACCATTTCTGCCTTCTCATCCATAAGAGTGATGCTTCTAATGAATTAACTCAGGCATGGGGAAATACGTAGCAGGGTGAAAAGGAGGGCTCTATGCTCCTATAACAATGGATTATCTCCCCCCTGCCCCGTTTTGTAGGCAGCCTCACTTGCTTTGCTAAAATCTTGCCCAGTGCTTGAATTCCCTCTTTGTTTTTGAGAGGGCTGACAGTTTTGGTTTTGGGGTTGTAGAGTTTTGTTTTTCTAGAACAGTCTTCTGCAATGTGACAGAACACTGTAGTCATCGCTAGCTTGTCACCTATGTGAACAGTTTATTGGTCTTGTCCTTACCTTTCTTACAGCCCCTTCCTGTTCCTTGTGCTGCTCTTCCTCAACACAAGGAATTTTCTTCCCCTTCCCTGTCCGGCACATCTCTTCCATCTGTGTTTAAATTTAAGGGTTTTTTTAAAAGGAAGGACTGTTGAGTGCAGTGGAGCCCTAATATATAGCTAGGGCTCTGAGGAACTGCAGGAATACAAGTAACAATTAAAACACTAATTCTGATATTTTACAGCTCTCCAAAAGGAAAATAATGAAGTGACTGCAGCTAAAAAGCAGTATGAAGACCTTAAAAGAGAATACAAGCATCTCAGGAGAGAATATGAACAGCTTCGGGTAGGTGGTTCTGAATTGCTATATGAACATGGTGTTCTGAAATTATACCAGCAAAATTTTGCTTGTTGGTTATTTATTACACAAGAGAATTTACCAGAATCTTTAGTGTAACAAAGTTACAATGGGTAGCACTCCTTAAACTTCTTCAAAATAGTAGTTTTGTTTTTCAAGGACTAGACAGCAAAGCTGTTAACATTTTTTGGTTTGCTTCAAGTGGCAAAGCTCAGGTCATGGTCAAACTCTTTTGCTGTTGCTTGGGAAATAAGATTCAGATAGCTTCACCTGTGAAGATCAAACTGAAATCTTGTAAGAAAATTATAGGAGTAGTCTGTGTGTGGTATATACATCATTTATAAGAGTAATTATATTTTGTTTGCTCTTTAAACATGCTTTTGCAATACTGGATTATAAATGTTGCAATACTGTTGATACGCAAGAACAAAAAACTACAGAAAACCCCCCAACAAACAGCCTAGGCTGAAATCAGGCTGCTATAAAAATTCAAGCTGAAGTACAAAATAAAAAAGAGGTAGCAAGCAAAAGGTGAATCAGCAGTTTGATTGGGTTTGCATATGTGCGTGGCTGTAATACCCATAATATAGACAGTAATTATTTCTGGTAGAACTGGCAGCCCTGCCTGTTCTTTAAGTTGTCTGACAGGGGGTTGTGTGTTCTATGCCTAACATCTGTCTCAGAAGTCAACAAAAATTAAAATTAAAGTTTACAAAGAATGGTCTTGGGAGAAAATAAATGGTCGGCATTAAAATTATAGTGACCTGCTTTTTAAGAGCAGCTGTTTGTTGGCTCTGTACTAAAAATTAAAGTTTACGAAGAATGGTCTTGGGAGAAAATAAATGGTTGGCATTAAAATTAGTGACCTGTTTTTTAAGAGCAGCTGTTTGTTGGCTCTGTACTAATTATTTTTTTTTAAAAAGGCAAATTTGAGCTGGTTAATCTTTTTCCTGTACCCTGTGAAGCTGCTTACTGATGTCTAGCCTCACCCTATACTCTCATAGAGATTGCTCAACTGATCTCTGTATTCGAATTAAGACCACCGTGCATGTCCTATCTTTGTTGTGCTTCCCTGTGTAATGAGCCGTAGTAGTCCTGCTGCATTTCTAACAGTCTTGTGGTCTAGAACACACATCCCTACAGTGTTCTGTGTTTATCTCTGCTTGGAAAGAACAGAAGGTGCTGAGCACACAGTAGATGCAGCCCCTAAGAATAAATCAGTTGACAGCAGAAAACACTTTCTGCTGAGTTTACTGCACAGTTGAGCTGTACCGTGACTAGTGAGCAGAAGTAGGCTGCATGGCGGTTCCTGTGCTACGGTCAGAAGCGCCCTGTTCAGTGGGGTGGTATTGATGGGATGAGCTTTGGAGGGCTTATAGTGAACAAATCGGGTATGACCGCAGGGGGGCAACATGTGGCATCTGGAGTCAGTGGTTTTTCATCTTGGTTTTATTCTGTCTCTCTTCAGGACAGTTTAAATGAAGCAGAAGCCAAGAAAGACCTGTAGGTGCATCTAAGACAGCTGCTTCAGTGAGAAAGGCATCAGGAGCCTAAACAGCACAAGGCTTATCTGAAACAAAACTTGATTCTGCTGCACTGCAGGTCACTGTTCCTTTAATATGTTTTGGTTGCCAAAGTGTTCTATGTTGCAAATAAAATGTTAAGTGGTTTACCCACCTTACCATGGAGTTTGTTACTGCTCTTGTGAGGAGAAACTTGAAAATCTTTCAATTCCACTGGAGCAACTTGACTGTTTATCAAGCTTTTGCCTTCCAGAATGGTAACAGTTCACACACCATTTGCTTGTAGCATTTGAGCAAGGTTGTATGTCGCACTGTATCATAAAACCACAATTACCTAAACCTCCTTTGCAGCACCTCTTTGGAGTCTTCAGAAATTGAGTTACCAGTGGGTTGAAGAAGGCTGAAAGCTTTTCGTCAGCCATTCCACTTCAGTGGAAAATTGATTGACAATCAATCTAAGGAAAAGAAAGAAAGAAGGAAAACTGCATTTCTAAATCCATCTCACTAGCTTGTGGCTTTCATTTAGCCACATGGTTGAGTGTATTTTACCAAATAACACTTTGCATGCCTCTGGCTTATTTTCCTTTATATTGGGTTATTTCAGTTTTCATAACCAAAATTTCGTGTTGATTGGTATTAACATTCTGTATTTTTACACTGTTTACATCTATTTACTCTGTATGAGCCACCGAACTTCTTTTGCCTAGCTAAGTAAAAATTCTTTTTAAATGTAGATAGTTGGGTTTGTTTTGTTTTGTTTTCATGGATACGATACCTCGAATAAACGTGCACTGTTTTGCATAAGCCCTTTTTGGCATTCAGAAAGTTGGTTTGAGTTTCTTCTTTGTTAGTTGGTTCCAGTTTATATTTGGAAGTTGGATATGTTTGCTATATTAAAGGGATTGTTCAAGTTCATGAGTTTCTGAGTTTATTTGCGTAAATCTCTCCCAGTATATTATCTCATCAGAGTTAATAGGTATAATATACACAAAGAACAAAATACACTTTGAACTTGGCGATATTTCGCCTTTTTCCTGTAAATACAGCCTTCTTCATCGGGGTAGTTTTGTTCTGGAAACAGGATTTGTTTAGCTTAGAATTTAAACATACCCTATTAAGTACTATAAAGTATAGTAACATAGCATATTAAATAAGAATGCATATGTTTTTAAAAAATACTTCATCCTTGCTGAAGTAGTACAGAATGTGTTCTCAAGAGATTCTGTGACACTGGAGATTTGTTTATTCATATCAAAGCTTTCAGCAAAAGCTGCAGATTTGAATACCTGCATACACAGAGGTTTAGGTGATGTAGTTAAATGCATCTTTCTTTTTTACCCCAGCCCTTACTGAAATATTTAAAATTATGGGAGAATGTTATCTCCAATCTGACCTGAAGACTGGTTGGAAGCCTTAGAGATATAACAACAAGTGCTGTTTTTAATAACAGAACTGAAACCTCAGCTTTTTCTTACTTTAAGACCCAGAACAAAAGCAAATATTACTTATTATTTACTGTTGTTATCTACTCATTAGATTCTTCCTGTAGTACAAGTAAATAATTAGACAGTTAATTAGCAGCTTATGATGAAAGTTGTCATGCTCCAGACTCGTCATACCTAAAAAATTATCTTGGAAGAAATAATATGGAACAAAAAAGGGGTAGTTGTGAATGCACTGCTAGCATCAATACTTCTCCTTGAGAAGGAAGCCCAAGTGCTTTACAGTAATTTTTGCTGAGGAGCATGACTAAGTGTGGAGGAGCGCGCAGCGGTATATCCGGTTCCCTCAGAAGCTGGCATGATCCCTGGTGTTTTTGAACGTGCAACGTGCATTTGCACACTGCCCTCTGTAATGACGTGGGTCACCTCAGCCTGGCAGTTTCTTGCTGGCTGCTTGGAAGATGGGGATCCGTTTGTTGAGAGACTGAGCAGACAGCAGCTTAAAACAAAACCCACCCCCCTGCCCATCAGGCCACGGAGAATGTTTCCTTATTTAGAAATTAGAGATTGCTTAAAATGCACAGACTTTCTGCTTTACCTCCGGTCATTTCTTCTGTCTTATCTGTTACTTGTGCCACGTATCAGATTTCCCTGTTGCAGAGCAGAATATGACCATCGTCTTTTTTCTGCTTCTCTGTTGTGGATGGTCACACACATTTGACTGAGTTGCATTATCACATGCTCAGCTCTTTGGGGTCCTAGATTTGTTCACAGAAAAATAACCTTTTGTTACTCAGATGGAAGGCATCTTGTAAATTTGCTTTGTGGAATTGTATTCTTGGAAAGAACATGTTTCTCTTGTAAAATTTTGAGTCTAAACAATGTATCTGGAAGTTCCAGTAGATGGCAAATCTTTCAGAGTATTTTTCATTGTTTCGCAATATTTATACATGTTCAGAGCCTGCAGGAGTCTGGGTTGATCAGCTTCAAGTACAGTTTTCTCACTGGTAATATTTTAAGTTACAGCTGATATACAGGGAAAGACTGAATCAAAATTTAATGTTTTTAACTCTCAATCTTTCATGCTGTTTGGTCAGATTTGGTCATGTTTTGTAGAAAAGATGAAAAAAAAAAAGTTAAATCTCCACTGGTACTAATGGAATCAAAATTCCTTCCAGTACTCACGTTTGACAGTTGATTTAATTCTGGGTATGTCTCCAGAAGTAAGAATTTGGAGCTCTTTATACTCTAATGTCAAAGTAATTGGTTGTTTTGGAGCCTTTTTCCCTCTTTAGTAAAGTGGGAATGTGTATTTTCAGTACTTTGGTGGGGAAGCCAAGGAGAGAGTATTAATTCTAAAAAGTTGCACAGGTTTAGTTGCAACTAGTAACTTTTGGAAAAATTGAGAGGTGTTTTCATAGTTTTTTTCATAAACCCCTTTTTCTGCTGAGTCAAGAAAGTGGTGAGGTCATGGTGGGTGCGTGAGAACTGACCTGAATATTAATAGACCTGACTACATGCTTTGGTGTTTCCTTAGATGAAAGCACCTTTAGCTAGGCAGGATGTTTTTCCCTTTTACTATTTTTGCAGCAAACACCCGATAATATATCTTCTTTAATAACATAAATTGTGCACAGTCTTTCCTGAAAATGTGCTCTTGCAGTGGCACTACTTGTATTTGCTGCCATGCTAGTCCCTTGCTACGTAGCCTCCTTGAAAAGACACTGTGCTTTCCAGCTTGTTTTGAAGGATGGGAGCTCTGGTTTTCACTCAGCGTTGAAAACAATGTTTAAGTTTGGTTTTTCTAAATGTGAAGTTATGGTAGAAGTATTGCATCACTGCCTCAGTTCTCAAGTGTTCCTTGAAATACTGAATTTACTTTGTAAGCTTTTTGGGACAGAAACCCTCATTTTGCATTGCCTTTGGACAGTGCTTATCCCAGGGGCAGCTGGAATCCGAGTCCCAATGCAACCTGATACAAATCGTTTTACAAATAAAGCTAAGCTGGAAAATCAGCTCTCAGTTGTGTCTTCCCAGTCCTCTGTGCTGAATATTGCTGTGTACGTTCATTGTGCAACATCTAAAAATGTAATTCTAGAACTGAGCATCCCCAGTTCAGGAGTCATATGCAATATTTTATTTTCTGCGACAAAATATAATGCTTCTGGTTTGCTCTTGAGGCAGTATGCAAATAGGTACAAGCATTTGCAAGGTGGTTTTGTGAGGAAAACAAGAGTCCCTCTAGTTTTGTGTCCGTCACTCTGAAATACGGATATGGTCCATAGCAAATTCCTGTTGCCACCTGCGAGCGCGCATCTGCCCTAAAAGGACGCAGCTATTACACCTCCAGCTTTGGGAGAGCTGAGTGGAGGGGGAGCAGGCTGCGTTCCTACAGACCAGGACTCTGCGCTAGAGGAGTCCCTTTCAAACGCTACCCAGGTACCAGCATAACCAAGTCTGGGATATTGAGGTCCCCAAGCACCCTTGGGTGCACCAGGGTTTAGGGAGTGGGAGCCTACCCCTATGTTTAGTGACTCAGGGGAGTTAGATACTAGCACCAGCATGTCTGTTGGAAGTGAGGAGGTACCAAAGTCAGCTACTAGGGAAAACGAAAATGAGAAGCATTTCTCAAAACTCACTTGTCTGGAAATCGGACGCCAGTTGCAGCGGTGATAAAAGCACATCTGCAAGACCTGCAGTTTAAGCTGTGACTATTTAAGTCATAGCTTAAATCCACTCTTTTATTCTGCTGCCTGAGATCAGGCTGTTGGTGTAGTCTGATTGGGTTTGCTCTTCTCCTTGAAAACACACCCAGAAGAGACAGTAGTTTTGGTGGTAATTGTGTTTTGTGAGATAGCTTAATAGCTAGCTGCTCACCTGGAAAGTGAGACCATGTTCTACGTGTTGCTTAGCCTGAAGTTTAAATCCGTATTCCTGTGACTGTGGAAGAAGAAACTAAGTTGGCTGGGAAGGTGCTAAACTACTCCTTTCCTTTCAAGTTTAAGACATGGTGCAGGAAAGAGACAATGTGAGAGGAAGGACGAGAGGGACTGTTACTCTTGACCAGTAAGGACAAAACCTTAGGCTTTGAGTCTTCTCCAGACATAACTTTGGCGTGTAGAGTTAAGGACTTGGGAACAGAGCATACAGTGATGCTGTAGGTAGGGACTTGGAAACAGGCTGGGTATCCATCCTGGGTTGTTTGTCTCATACCGAGTACAGAATGAACATGAACTAATTAGGAAATAGTAGCAAATATAAGGTGAACAAAAGGATTTAGAAGACTGATGCAGATTTCACACTAACAAAAAAAGAAGAAAAAAAAAAAAAGAGAAAGAAAAAAAGCTCCAGTTGACAAAGGAAAGGAAGAGCCTGCCTTCTAGCTTGAAGGGTCCGGTTCCAAGGGGAGGGGATACTATGCGGGGCAGCATCCTGAGTGGGGTCAGCGGCATCACAGTTTAGAAGCTCGTTGCTTCTGGTTTCACGCAGGTCTGTGTATGGGATCTATGCTGAGCTAGGGTTTGCGTTCTTTATCCTCTTGC